CTCATAATAGTTGATTTCCTATGTTTTTCATATATCTATAAAACTTGAGCTTATGGTTTTTATCTACTGTAGATAACATCCAAGACCAGAGTCTGTGGCAAACATTTTAAAGAAGAAGACTTCCTACCTCTTGATAATTCAGGAAGGCGACGTCTTCAAGAAGGAACAGTCCCTACTGTATTTAACTGAACAGTAACAACAACAAGCAGATGAAAGGTTATAAGACAAGTTGAAAGGTGTGTTATCATGCATGTTCTTATATGGTGGACTTCGTTACATAACTTTAGGTGTCTGTAGTCGAGTGATTATAATTTCTTAAACTTTTTAGCCTTTGTTGTTTTGGTTAGTACAGTTCAGCTGATTACAACAATAAGAAAAGTAAATTATTCATCTGTGGTAGTTTGACACAGTTGATATTGTTTGTTTGTTTTTGATATACTTTTATATTGTGTTGTTTACAGTGGCACACAAACAGATGAGAGTGATGGGGAAGTTTTAGGTGATGAATCAAACCAACCTTATGAGGGAGACACAACCCAAGTTCCAAATATCTTTGAGGAGCTCAGACAGACCAAAGCACAGCTATTTGCTGTACAAGCCGACCTTGCGGCTGCAAGGTCAGATGCCAGTGCTGCACAAGAAGAATTAGTGCGACAAAAAGAACTAGCTGCAGCAGAACTTGCCATTTACAAATTTGGGTTAGAACGATTCTCCACAGATAATGATGCTATTAAATTCTATACTGGGTTTTGCACATATAACCATTTGAAACTTTTTTATAATTTTGCTAGACCTTCTGCAGAAACAATGACATACTGTTATGCGACAGGTATTTTACAAAATCGGCCAAATTTTAGGGCTATGCAACTCAGAAAAGTTATTCATGTTTTTAGTAAGAATTAAATTAGGGCTATTTCAACAAGATCTTGCACACCGTTTTACAGTAAGGGCACTCGAACCGTGAACACTTGAGCGTTTTTTTATGCATTTTTTGACGGATTATCCAATGAGAGTTCTCCATTCAAACAAAAGGATTCGTGTTTTTTGGCGCTGTCCAATCACAGCGGTGGCGGGAAAATACAATCTTAGTTTTTCATGTCAGTATGCCAGTGAAATTTTCAAACGTAAAATGGCCTACGCGCCTGCTAATTTTGCTGGTAAGTAGCATCAAATAATCCTTGAAGTTATTTACTAGTGCTGAGCATGTTTTTTTGTTGTTGTTCTGCAAAGGTGAGTGCAAACTAGCCATGAATCAATATCAAGGGATCTACGACAATGGCAAAGTACTGCCACAAGTTTACTGTGAAAGAGTGCTTGATCTACACCACCAAGGTTTCTCGCAAAGGCAAATTTCGCAAAACATGCGAGGTAGCGTTGGATACGTCAACAAAGTCGTACAGTTTTATGAAAACAACAACTCGTCACTGGCTGCGCCACGGACAACACAGGTGCGGTATAAAATGTCAGCCGATGTTGAATGTTTGGAGTCTGAGAAATTATGCAAACTTCAACAGCGTTTGTTGTTAGATGGAGTTTCTCCTCCTGGTCAATTACCATCCACGTCTGCAATAAAAAAGTGCATTCAGGAAGACTGCAGAATGACAAAGAAAAAGGTTTCCCAATCGCCTAAAGAATCATTGTCACAAGAAAATACTGAATACACCGATTTTTATCTTGATCAAATTGCACATCACGACTATACAAAACTTCATTTTTTTGACGAATGTAGTGTAATTGTAACTTCGGGAAATCGCGTGTATGGCAATTCCTACATCGGCAAACCAGCGATTGAAATTCAGCGATACGCATCGAACGCTAATTATACACTCAACTTGCTTCACTCTGCAAACGGAGTGGATTACTTTGATGTTTTGAGAGGCCCATCTAATGGCATGGAGCTGCTGAATTTCTTCAATAAGGCTCTGTCAATAAATAGGGTAGATGGTTCGACAATTCTGGAGAATGGCGACGTAGTTATAATGGACAACTGCGGGTTCCATCACGGAAATTTTACAGAGGCAGTATTACGTGACATTCTTAATGAACATGGTGTTCACCTGCTTTTCCAGCCCGCTTACTCTCCCCATCTAAACACTTGCGAGTTTTGCTTCCACCAAGTAAAGTGCTATCTGAAACAAAATTCATCTCTAACAGCTGATGAAACTGAAATAGCGATAGGCGAAGCTGTGTCAAAGATAAGCCCAGCAAATTCTATCGCATACTTTCGAAAACGCGGCTACGTCTGATTGACGACCAAGTTATCATGCCGCTGCTATTTTTATCAGCCAGTTTTCCTTCACAACAACAAAAAAAATCGCCTGCTACTAAACTGTAAAAAATGTTTTCAAGCTCAATTAGCAAAATTGACTGACTTTTGATCTCCCAAAGAAGACTTTATTGAATAGAAAATGTGTAGACTACATGTGATTGGCAGCTGTTACCTTGCACTCTATTTTTATCTTACCCATGAGAATAAACAAACTCGGGCTTGCTTCTGAGCTAAAAGCGTTAATTGACAAGTACGCTCTATAAAATACAATCTCTATTGAATGAAAAGTGATATAATTCAAACTAATTCTTACTTTTACAATAATAAGAAAACTATATTTTTCACAATGCAAACTATGAAATCGTAGTACACAAACTGAGACTAGGCACATGTCAATAAGTGGATTTCAAGCCGGTATGAAATTAAAAAACACAACAACCCGGACAATAAAAATGCTACATAAAGAACAAATCAAATGCAGTGTACTGTAGCCACTAGTATAGAATGAATAAAATACACCTGTTACAGTTTCGTGCATTTCAGTTCATTGTACCCTCAGAGGGTCAACGATTCCATGTTTGTACTCTTCGATAATACTTGGCAATCTCCAATTGTATGTTTCCTCTAATGGAACTTTATTTCGCAGCGCTCGCTGGAGAATCATCAAGTCTCTATCCAAGGCAGAACGATCCAAGTATGTTGCGGCATTTTGCTTCCTTAAACGGGGTCGCATGATGGCAAAAAAACTTGACTTAGCTCGCTGGCAGGAAGAGATAAATACTTCGTGGTCGCTTTTAACTTTCGCATACTTCTGTTCAAGTTCTTTCAGTTCACGCTGTAAAGTGCGAATTTCGGCCAATAATTCCGGGTGCTTTTCTTTTATCTTGCAAACGTTGACATCGTTACAAGGCATTTGTGTGCATTTCGCTCTGTTGTGACCTGACAAATAGCAGACAGCGCATACTTTTCCACGTGAAACTTTCGGGAAGTCTTCCAAGGCTTTCTGTTTACCTTGAATGTGATTTTTGGCACTTTCAACTTGCAATTCCAGTAGCTTGAGATTTTCTGAAAGTTCTAAAGCTCTTTGGTCCAATGGACTTTGAAAAGTTTTAGAGCTTTGATTTGAAGGGGTCGCGATCACTTCAAAACCAAAATTGGTTGCGGCCTGAGGTGACTGCTGCTGCGGAGTTGTATCCACCGATCGTTCAAGGCCGCTTTCACATGCTGTCATATTCAGTCGTTTTGGCTCAAGGTGGTTGGGCCAACAAGCAGTTTCTGTTTTGATGTTCTTCAGCTCGGCTTCCAATAAACGTCTTTCTGCCAGCAACAGCTTATCAGGAGACGGGAAAAACGAGTCCAAATCCTCTGATTTCACGTAAGCCAGTGATCTTCTTGAGAGAAATCCTCTGTTTTCAAACTCGAGCAAAAGTCGTTCAAGTTTCATGGATGGCGATGATGATTTAAGCCAGATATACACTTCGCTTTTTTCAGTCATGATCTCGATCTCCCACCGGAATAGCGACAAAAAGAAATAAATGTTCGAGCCTCGTTACAAAGCTACTTCATGATTGGATGATGCTAAAAAGGCAGGAAAAAAGTCTAAGCGTTCATGGTTTGAGTGCCCTAACTGTAATTTACATATGTCAACTGTTAGTAGAAAATTAACAACTTGGGCTAACTATTTGTATTTTCTCCTTGGTAATCAAATGATTTGGCCATCTAGAGCTGATGTTAATGCCAAGATGCCACAGGAGTTCAAAAGGCTTTATCCTGCCACACTTGTAATCCTTGACTGCACAGAAAGATTTGTCGAGACACCATCATCTCTCCTTTTGCAGTTCCAACTTTGTTCTAGAAAAAAGAGTAACACGACACTTAAGGGTTTAGTAGGCATTGCAACACATTGTGCAGTTACTTCAGTTTCTTTTTATACAGAGGCAATTTCTGATAAAGAGATTACTAGGTGTTCAGGGATATTAGATTTGCGCGAAAATGGTGATTCTGTGATGGCAGATAAAGGATTTGATATTGAAGATTTGCTGAGGGGCAGGGGTACTTGCTTGAACCTTCCTCCTTTTTTACAAGATAGAAGGCAATTTTCTGAAACAGTAGTCCCAAATACCAAAACAATTGCAAAACTGCAAATACATGTTGAAAGGGCAATCAGAAGGATTAAAGAACACCATTTCTTTGACCCGGGCTCGTTTACTGGGCACATAAAAATCACACAAACACATTGATCTGGAGTAAAAATGGCTAAGGGCAAAGGCCCAAAGCCGGTTTAATCAGTAATCAAAACTGAATCAATTATTACCCAAAATATTTTAATCTGGGAAAAATAGCTTGCCCAGTAAAGGTGAGGGCTGAAAAAAAAACCAAATCAAGCATTAACTTGAGCTAAAACAAAGACATGTGGCTGGAATAAGGGGAGGAGGTGGGGTACAAACAAACCTGTCACTTGCTAAGAAATCTGAAGTGAATGACTGAATTCTGTCACGAGTATTAGACTCCACAAAAGGTGGGGGGTCAATACATTGCAATACTTGCACCCCTTAACCAGGCCTGTCACGCATCTTGCATTGTCATGCAACACTCTCTACACGTGACTAACATATATCAGCAATTATCACAATAATAGAACATTAATAATTTGGGAAAAAAAGCATAAAAATCCTATTCGCGAGCAAATATTCTCTTTATGCTTTTTGCCCCTATCCAGCTTGCTAAGTAACTAAAATACTGGGCTGCATCTCCCAGGCTCGTTTACTGGGCACATAAAAATCACATTGATCTGGAGTAAAAATGGCTGAGGGCAAAAGCCCAAAGCAATTGATGAACCTGTAACGGAACATCAGCATTCTTAAGAGAGTTGGAAGTAATTTCACTAATCCGTAAAAAACCATAGAAGGCTATTGCACACATGGCTTGAAATTGACAACAGTGCAACTGGGAAATGGCCAGCTGAGATGCACCCTCAATAATTCTGTGGACACAAGTTGCCGGACAAATACCATTAAGGTCTTATCCTTACAAGATTGCTTATTGATGACGTGGACCAGGGATTCATTATTGGTAAAAAACAAGATACACTGATTGCTCATAGCCGCGCCCCACAGGTACAGACTTAGGACAATGGGGTAAAACTCAAGAATGGCAATATTCAGATGCTCCCAATTGGTAGGCCATTTACCATAGCACCAGTGTGGTCCAAATATAGCGCCAAAACCAATAGCATCTGTGAACAGGTTCAATTTGGGAGAATGAAGCCATCTGTCCTCCATGAAAATTAAACTTCCCATTAAAATTGGAAAAAAAAGACAGCCATATCTTCAGATCCTCTTTTACCTCTCTATTAAGTCTAATCTTATGATTCGCCTTTTTGACACCCAGAGTCAAGTCAACATGCCTACGCAGAAAAGCCTGTCCAGGTTGTATGACTAAGCATGCAAAGTTTAAAAGGCCAGTTAGGGACTGTACCTCCTGGAGGGTAACTTTCTTACGAGTAAGGAACTGAGATAAGAGTGACTTACATTTTTCAACTTTTTCAAGAGGTAAACAAGCCTCCAAAAGAATAGAGTCTTATTCAATGCCCACAAAAGACATGGTGATGGCAGACCACAAGTCTTCTCTGGTGCCATTGGGATACCGAGGTAAGAACAGAGAGATAAAAATAAATCTAGCTGTTTCTTACAAAGTTGAGAGGAGGAAGCTACTAAAAGAAAATCGTCGAGCAGGTGTAATATATAATCTATCTTTAACTTATGCCAGGCAATCCATTCCACTGCTGTACTGAATGTTTCGAATGTTAAACACGAAGAAGAACAGCCCATGGGCATGCATCGGTCATAGTAATATAAACCCCTCCACTGCATACCTAACAGACCAGCATTCATAATCAGTTTGATAGCTTCATCGATGGTAGCATATCGAACACTGGTGTGCTCAGGGGATATGCCATCATTAACTGATGAACCTTTAGGAAAGGACAAGTGGTGGATTAACCTAAATTCACCTGGAACTTTCTTTGGTACAATGCCCAAAGGGGATATCCAAAATGGGGACAGTGGAGGGGATAAGAAAGGGCCAGCAAGCTGATGGGCCGCTAACTCCTTCCCAAGTTTAGCATCAACCACTTCAGGATTTTCAAGAGCTGATAACAAATTTGTTGCTGTTTGCGAAGTACATTCACCCTCAAAGTGTACCGGAAAACCCTTAGTAAAACCTGATAATAAAAACTCAACGGTGGAAGGTGTGTACCCATCAAGAAGAAAAACTAATCTATTAACTTTTATTGGGGTGGGAAGGCTGGGTAAGAAAGGATTTGGCAGCTTGAGGCTGGGAATGGTTGAGTTTGGCCGAGTCACAAAAATTACACTTAGTCACCACGTGCGACCCTTCACACCTATAACAAAGATACTTGAAAGCACAACCCTGAGGGCATTTGTGGCCTTTATGAAAACGAAAACAGTAGCCCTTTGGGATGGAATCAGGCTTTGTGCGTAGCAGTGCAGAAAATTGCGGTGGAGAGGTTTTACACAGAACATTTTGTGACTTAAGCCATAATTCACCATGGATCCTGTCCCAGGGCAACAAAGCGCCATGCGCCTGTCTTAAAAAACAAAAATTGTCATCATAGAATTTCCCCATATTTCATGAGGGCAGGGGCCTCGTGTCTTTGTGTGCACACCCACAAACACATGGAAGCTGCTAATCCAAGCTTCTATAGAAGTAATCTTTTTTGGCTTCGTAACGGGCTCAATACATAAAGAAGGGGCAGTGTCACTCGCTGCATTTTGGATGGTTATTTGATATTGATTATCCAAAACTTGGTTTGTGAGAAGTGAGCCAAAGTCAACATATTCCTGACCCCAAATCTTGGTGCGTAACTTGTCAGATAAGCGAGCGTCGACAGGCAAACTAACTGACTGGAATAACTGACCTGGTAAAATAATAATAATAATAATAATAATAAACTTTATTTACGTGTCAAATAAGATAGCAGTTTCCCACTAAGTAAGGACACCTAAACTAAACTAATCTAATCTATATAAAACTATGCATTAAAAATTTATTGGAATATGATAAAAGAGCTCTTCCCAAATAAAACTACCCTACCCCGAAATAGTAGACCCCATGTTTATAATACCCTACCCTGTATAATAAGATAATAACCTTAATATAATGAGATAATAAGATAATAATAATTACAATAATATGATCTTGATAATATTTAAAATATTTAAGATTTACATAAAATACAGTTCTTGCAATTATTCGAAGAGATTAAACTTTGTATATCTACTTTATATAAAGCGTTTTTAAATTCTTGCAGCGTTCTTAGTGCTCTTATTTTTCCATCTAACTTAGACCAGATTACTGGACCTAAGTACCTAAGAGAGTGCTTACCATAGCGCGTAGTACTAACTCTAGGGATAATGAAATCATTGTTTCTTAAATTATATTTGTTGTTATTAATAACAAACAGGTTCTTGATATTATTAGGGCACAGATCATTTTTAACTTTAAACATTAACACAGCTATGTCATGTAATCGCCTATTACGTAAGGTTTTTAAATTAGCCCTCTTAAGGAGGTCGCTATATGATGATATGCTATCACAATAAACAGCTCTAAGGGCCCGTTCTTGTACCCTCTCTAATTTTCTAGAATCACTAGCTTTGCAACAATCCCATACAATACTACAGTAAGTTAAATAAGGCAGAATAGCAGCCTTAAAAAGTTGTAATTTAGCCTTGGCTGGGATTAACTTCCTTAATCTATTAATTACACCCACCCTTTGACTGCTTTTTTTTACAGATGTCACTTATGTGATCAGAAAAATTTAAATTATCATCAATATTTACACCCAATAACTTTATATGATTTAATGGCTGTTCCGTTAACATTTAGCTCTAACTGTTCATCATTTAGTCTACCTCCTTTCAATATCATTGATCCATATTTATCAAAGTTCCCTTTGAGAAAGTTCGTATCATACCAATTTGTAGCTCTTTGTGCAGTATCCTGTAGTTTTGTTTGTATAGTATTGATATCCTTGTTGATTTCGTAGAACTGATGGTCATCAGCATACATCCCAATTTTTGAAGGAATTCCAAACGTCAAGTCATTTTGGAAAAGATTCCATAAAAGAGGTCCAAACGAGGACCCTTGAGGGCATCCTTTCTTGACCCTTTTCCAGGAGCTTGCAATTCCACCAATTCTTAGCCTATTATAGCGATCCATAAAATATGATTTCATTAGCTTGATGCTCTCGTTTTTAAAGCCATATGCCTCCAGTTTAGCAAGTAATAGAGAATGATGAAGACAATCAAACGCTTTACTCATGTCAGTACTTAAGAGGCCAACGCTCATTCGATTATCCAGAGCATTTTTCCAGTCTTCCGTCAATGCTAGTAGTGCCGTTTCACAACTGTATCGTTTCCTGTATGCTGTCAGGCTATCGCTCAAACGTTCATTAAATTCTGCTGTAATCTGATTTGTAAGAAGTTTTTCAAAGGTCTTATTTACCATGATCGCTATACTTACAGGACGGTAATTTTCCATGTTCAAACGATCGTCCTTTTTATAAACAGGCACCCACTCGCTTTTCTTCCAGTTCCTTGGCCAATGACAGCTGGCGATACATTGATTATAAAGAGCGCATAACGGTGTAGCAAGCTCCGAAGAGCCTATCTTAAAAGCAATGGGTGGAATATTATCCCATCCCGAGGCTTTCCTGGGATTTGTGTCTTTCAAGATTTTCTGAACCTCCGGCACTGTTATATCTTTGAATTGAAATGGTTTGAAATCACCCTTAGATATGCGTTGGTTTACGATAGCTTGAATACTTCGGTGATTTGACAGGTCAGAATCTGAAATATCGCTGGTAGGACCAATGTTATCTGCAATGGTTGAGAAATAATCAGCCATGGTCTCTGCGATATCCAACTTGTTGCTGATTATTGAATCATTGACCTTCAGATTCATGTCCGATGATTCCCTAACCTTTTTTGATCCAAGAAAAGGCATGAATGTTTTATAGAATTCATGTGGCTTACTTCCAAGGTCCTTGGACTTTTTCTCCCAAAAGTCTTTAATTGACTTACGTCTAAGTCGTGTGGCTTCATTCCGTAACTTTTTGTGAAGTTCCCAGTCCTCTTGAGCTTTAGTTTTGTGAAATCTTCTAAGTGCTTTCCTCCTTCTTCTAATTGCCTCCTTCCATTCTGTAGTCATGTAAGCTACGTCCCCATCTCTGACTCGCATTCTCTTGCAAGACATGTGTTCGTCTACGATGTCCTTTAACAATAGGCCGAAAAATTCGGACTGATCCTCAAGGTCATCGAAGATTTCAGCCACATGCCATGGAGCTGAAGCTAAATGTTCTTTAAATAGCATCTGATCAAAATTTTTACGTGACCGAAAGTTGATAACTTTTGATTTACATTTAGCCACCCTTTCCTTCATGAAAGTATAGATGAGGGCGTGGTCGCTTAGACCTGGGTCAAAAACATCGCTCTTGGCAAAGTCCTTTGGGACGTTCGTCAAAATAACGTCTATTAGTGTCTCACTAACTCGATCTCCCGTTTTATGGATTCTTGTTGGTTTAGAAATGAGGCAATCGAGCTCATGTGTTTCTTGTAGATCTAAAAGTAGTTTACCTTCATTAGTTGTTGGTCTAAGACGATCCAAATTCAAGTCACCAAGCACTACGATGGAACTTCTTAGTAGGTTAGCCCAATTACAAATGTGATTGAGTTCCTCTTCAAGCTGTTGACGATATTGTAATGTGAAATTTGTAGGAGGTCTGTATAATCCAATTGCTCTAATGCTTTTCGTTTTGAAGTGGATGTCCAATACAATTGGCTCAATGGTTTTATAGGTCTTGGCAAGTTTGATTCTTTTGCATGTTAATTCAGAGGATACGTAAGCTAAAATTCCTCCTCCTCCTTTCTTCCTATCGTTACGGTAGAGCACAAAACCAGGTATAGAAAATTGACTGTTTGGGTAGGAAGAGTCAATTTTAGATTCGCTAACAATCATAAGTTGAGTTCTAGAGTCTTATCAAGCCTGCGAGCTCTTCGAACTTGTTTTGAATACTATTGATGTTAAGATGATACATCAAGATCTCTCTTTTGTATATAATTCTTTCTGCAATCAGGACATTGTTCAGGGCATTGTTCAAATGGTCTTGCAACTCTCCAGGGATAACGCTTTGATGCATGTACCTCAGAAACAGTAATATTACTCCCTTCCAGTACATTATTTCCATCATTTTCAAATTCACTAGCTAGCTCAATATTATCCAACTTAAAGAATGGTAGTTCAGAAAATAGGTCACATCCCAGGCATTTCCATGAAGTTAGTGTCGTAGCGATTATTTGAAGAAACTGATATGGTCTTACATTACCGCATTTGATGTGCATTAAACAATCACAGGATGAACAGCGCAGACTGCGATGGTTTTTTGCGACTGTCCTGCTGCAAGATGCACACTTCTCTGGACCTGGATTTGGGTTGATATCCTCACTCTCAGCTAGTCGCTTTAATTGAAATGTAGATGTAGAATTAGAGTACCTTGTTAACCTCAAACCAAAGAAGCCCTTAGCTGGCGTGTTAGTAATAAACTTTGGTCGCTGAAAATTTATCCAAACCTTGTTCGAGAGGTAGCCAAAATCCTCCGTAGATACATCCCCATCTTTTGCAGTTAATTTAACATCATTTAGTCTTCCAATAAGCCAGATAAGAGTAATAATTTCGTATAACTTTCTGGAGCTTAATCGGATACGTCCGCACGCCATGACGCACGCCACGCACCTGATCACTGAAATGTCCCTTCACTGAGAAAAAAATGATGAACTAAAGAACAATTACATGTAAGTCTCTTCTCGCATTCTAAAAACTACTCACACGATCTCAAGTTGGTCTTGAAAAATATAGTATGTCTCGAATCCACCTTCCAGTCCTTCGATAATTTTTTGGTATGTGGGGGGCAGTTGTGTGGGATGACTGCTGTGGCAGGCCCGTGATGGCAGCAGCTTCCTTTTGCAGGTTACCCTGCACTATATTCCTAGCCAAAGCATCCACTGGGGTAGGAGCTGTATGATTGGCTAAAGGACCAGCTGGGACTTCCTGAAGATCGGATGTCAGAGCCGGTGGTGTTGGAGCCGGTGCCAACCGGCGGAAGACTTCATCTGCCACTCTATTCACCAGGGTCTCCATAAACTGACTGGACAACAGGGCTTCCTGCGGTGTTATCTGTGTATGGGACTCTCCATCGGTTACTGGAGTGGCATTGGGGGTTGCACTGGCTGGGGCTCCTCTTGCAGCTCCTGGCATGATTCTGCAAAGGGAAAAAGAAACATTTGGCAGAAAAAGAAAAAATTGATAGCCCAAAGTGAAACAGAGGGCAAGACCAAGTGATTGGCATCAAAATACACGTACAGTAAACTGGCAGGGACAACCATGTCAAGACAATTTGTCGACGAGTTGGCAGCCCTTAAAACACCAGGAAAAAAATATGAAGCTAGCATAACTACATATGACTAGCCCACGAAAACCTCAAGGCAATATAAGACTAGGATAACTACATAACCTAGCCATCATAAGACTAGCATAACTACATACGACTAGCCAAAGAAAAACAAAGCCTGAGATTACAGCCAAAAGGCAAGATAAGACTAGGATAACTACATACCCTAGCCATGCATCAAGAGACTAGTATAACTACATATGACTAGCCAAAAATTAATAAAATAAACCCAAAACGGGGAATGGGGAAAGCGAACCAGGATCAGCTTTGTTCCGCCAACATGTTCGCCGCTCTGAGAACAGCGCAGCGATAACTGATAACAAATTGTTTGAAAAAATTCAGATGTTAAATGAATAAAAGTTCCATCGTTCAGTTTAACTGTAACCAAATACTTCACGTTTTAACTTTCTTTGTACTTTTTGTGAATGATGAAAATTAATTGCACACGGTATTTAGGCCGCTTGTCAACCAACGTAGTGACACTATTGCTAATACAAATTCATTCTGAAATCAATATCTCTCTCTCAAAAATGATTTGAGAGAAAGAAAAGGGAGGATTCATAAGTTATTTATCGGCTTGAGGTTGTGACCGACATGTTTAATTAAAAATACTGCCCTGCCGGAAAAACCAGATATATTTATGAAAAATGGCAACGGAAGTTGGGATGTACTCAGCGACTCACGAAAGCGTTATTGTGGCCCATGGGCAGATATAGGAAAATATTGACCGGGTAAAGAACCAATCAGATTGCAGGATTTGTTACTTTGCCCTCTAAAAAAAATAAACATGGTTATTGAACTAGATCTGCTATTTGACACCATCATGCAAAAGAAACTCAGGGCTCAGGACTTTCCTCTCAAGTGCATAATGTCTATAGAATAATCTAGGTAACACATACAGAAACATGATTTCCCATTCAAATTTCAGAAAAATGCTACAGAATAATTTTATCAAAGAAAATTCTTCATTAGCACATTTTAAGATAAGTATCCACGGGCACTTAATTTGCGCACAGGAAAGCCTTCTATTGACCTTTGTCCAAGCCTCAAGGTAAAATAGCACACTAGCTATGTGCGAACATGATTCGGCAAGGCCTGCCTTGCATCCAATTAATGACGCCTTTTGTTGTTCCATCTTTAGCGGTAATTATCTGGAATCAAGGCATCGTTCATGCGCTGTGAATGCCGCACTTTTGCCAACGCCACGAACTTGTTTGCGATGATATGTCCTTGAAAGTTGTAAAGAAAGCTTAACACCATTTGATTGTAGGCCTCGAGACTGCGGAAGGCCTTAAATTGTTTTTGCATATAATAGCTAGTCTCGAGAACCAAATAACAGCGCAAATCCATCGATTCCACCGGCGGTGAGGAATCAGGCTCGAAGCGTTTCCCATCTATTAGAACAGGATCGATTCCGATAGTCGAGATCTTCTTTAGATAACGCTCTCTAACTTTGACATCCAGTTTTTTAACATAATCAGACAATGGAATTTGGATGAGATAGTCTGGATCACACAAAGGAATAGAATTTTTTTGCGGTAGATGCCATACATATAATTTTTTTTATTGTAAACTGGAAGGAACTATACATTTGGACCGTGTTTGCATATAATAATGACTGAAACACGTGACTCAGATGTGCACCAACATGGCGGAAAATAATTCTGTGATGTCACGTGAAAACAGTCTCTAGATGGTACCGTGCGTGGAGTAGCGAGGCCACAGGAAAACCAAAGGGTCATGCACAATGGCCACAAGAGAATACATTCCATAAAATTTCAGAGTGTTGTCTTTAATGACAGATTAACTGCAAACCTTCACGGTCCCTTTGGAGGGAAAAGACACGACAGCACAATACTCCAATAATCAGGCATTCTCAATGAGCTTCAGAGGTTGGCGTTTCATAAAGGGCATCCTCGTTGTCTTCATGGCGATGGTGTATATCCTTTAGGTGTACATCTGTAGGCCCTTTTGAAAAACATTCAGCTCACTCCACAGATGGTTTTGTACAATGTGGTCATGAGTGAAGTAAGAGTTGCAATTGAGAGGCTTTTTAGTAACATTACAAACTATTCTAAGTTTTATTTATTTGAAAAGCCAATTACATATTAACATGAGTTCAGTTGGGAAATTTTACATTGTTCGGAAATGCGTTGACCTGTCTGTATGGTAACATTGTGACAGAAAACTTTGACGTTCAACCACCTTCTTTACAGGACTACTTCCAATAATTTGAATTTGTCTCATTCTGTACTTTGGCCAATGGAAGAGTTGCGTATACTGATGTTGGAGGATTAAAAATTTAATTTAATGCAATTTTTACTTCAATTTAATTTTAAACTTGTTAACTTAGGTCATGGTATTTCCTGAAAAGTCATGAAATTTTCAGAGCTCAAAAGTGTATTAACCTTGGCCCATTGGTAATGTGCACCAATTACATTTTCTGGTAAACACAATATTTTCTTTGATGATTGTGCAGTGGTTTATAATGATCAAAGTTGTTATTTTCTATTTTATTCATACTTTGTTTAAATTTACTGAAGCCTGTAGGCCAAAAATTTTCTTTAATCAATAAAAATAGTCAAGATAATTGGCCTTTACGCGTTCTAAAAAACATGCTCTATTTCATTTAAAATGTTGTTTTATGTACAAAAATTAGATAATAAACAAAACTCAGATAATAATAATGCATTTTAACATGAGTATAATTCCTTCATAAATTGTTTAGTTAAAGTATCAAGCAATGCTGATTTACATCTAGCCCTAACCCTTAATCTATCTTAGAAAGTTGTTGAAATGCCCGTGTCTGATTGGTCAAAACTTGCATCATTTGATGCTGCAACATTTCAAATTTTTGTTGTTGCTGATTCTGCTGTAAATGATTCTGCTGTTGCTACTGTGAATGCATTTGTTGCTGAAGCAATTTCATTTGCTCATTTTGTGCGTGTATTTGTAACACGGACTGTTCATTTTTAGATCTCTGGGCCTCCCTTTCTTCCCTTGTTTCTTAGAATTCTTGCTCCTTCATCCCGTGCACAGTCTCTCCCTTTTCTCTCAAGCACTCTATTGCCTCTCCTCCTGATCTTCTCCTTTTTTTCTCCTTTTTCTCCTCATCTTTTTCTCTGTCTTGGCTCTTTTTGGTCTTGCTTAACCTCTCCATGGTGCTTTTCCTTATCTCCTCTCCCTTCTTTTTCTCCTCTTTCAGTAATTTCTTTGCCTTTTCCTTCTGCTCCTCTCAGACTCCATCTCCAATTCCACCAACTCCTCCACCACCTTTTTAACTGCACTCATTTTTTCATCTCCACCACCACTCTTTCTCTCCTCTTGCCTAACTTTAACACGCCACTTCTTGGCCATAATATTAAAGTGGTCTCTAATCGACTGAAAAATGACAAGCATACCCGCTGCCATATGGGCAGGGGCAACAGCCTGTCATAGTGCTCCTCTCTCTCTGCTTCCTGCTTCACTGTGGATGAAAACACCCTCAGCTGGTACAGTTCGCAAGAGTTAA